GAGAGACAGAGAACGGGAGAAAGCAAGCCGCCAGGTCCGGAACTCGAACCATGGTCAGCCACGTGGGAGTCCAGTGCCTTAACCAGCATGCCACCTGCTGCCCCCACACTTTAAAGTTTTATTTATTTGTAAATTTGCTATAGGGTACATGCTTTCACCAGGGAGAGACAGAGAGAGACAGAGGGAGAGGGCAGGTGAGAAATGACCGTTTGGAGGACCGGGCCGCTGCAGCCCCTTCTCCGCTCTCCTCCTCCAGCACGCACACGTGGCTGGGGCGATTGCCAAGCCTGGGTCTGGGACGAGAGCTGCCGTTGCCCACGTGGGAGTCCGGTGCCTTAACCACCATGCAACCTGCTGGCAGGTGCACACGCCCTATAGCAAAAATCTCTCAAAAAAAAAGAAAAAAAATTTATTTATTTAATTCCATTTGTTATTGTTTTTTAATTTGACCAGAGAGAGAGAGAAAGGGAAAGAAGGAAAAAGGCAGGCCGCCAGGTCGGGACCCGAACCGCAGTCGGCCACGTGCGAGTCCAGCACCTTTAACCACCACGCCACCTGCCGGCCCTTCAATAATCACTTTTCTTTAATCACTTCCTTTTCTTTTTTTTTTTAAGAGGATTTTGCTATCGGGTATGTGGACTCACCAGAAAGACAGAGACAGAGAGACAGAAAACGAGAAATCACCCCCAGGGGGGATGGCCACGCCGCAATCCCTTCTCCTCCATTCTCCTCTCGGGATCTTGGGCACGCACGCACATGCGCCCGGCGTGAGTTTAAGCCACCGGGTCCGGGACTCGAGCTGCAGTCTACTACATGGGAGTCCAGCAACGTAGCCATTACGCCAACTGCTGGTCCCTCTATCACTTCTTAAAACGAAATATTTATAGGGCCAGCTGTTGGCAGTGGACTCCCACGTGGCTGACCGCGGACCGAGTATCAGACCTGGTGGCTTGCTTTCTCATTCCCCTCTCCCCGTCCCTCAGGTTAATAATAATCATAAATAACGTTAGATAAAAATAAGTGTTTAAACTAAATGCACCCGTTTCTTTAGTTGCCTATTTCTTTGTTAGGATTTTCAAGTGGCCGGGTCCAGGACCTGAACCGCAGTTGGCCGTGTGGGAATCTAGCACCCTGACCGCCAGCCAGCCTGTCCTGAGAAAGATCGAGATGCTCCTCCTCCAGGAAGCCTGCCCGGCTGCCCTGGGGTGCAGGTCACGTGCCCACTGGGCAGGGTCTCCTTTCCTGTTGGCTTGGAAGGTCAGGGCTGCCCTTGCCCTCCGCTGAGCCCAGGAGGCCACGGGGTCTCTAAAGGTTTGTGGGTGGCTCAGGTGGAGAGGCGAAGGAACCACTTGGTATCTGAGGCTCAGAGGTAGGAGTTTGGCGTGGCTCGGCCCGAGAGGTGGCTGTGGGGGACTGGGACTTGTGCCGGCCTCTGCCCCTCCCCGGCCTCGCTGACGGCCCTCCCAGTTGTCTCCGGCCACCTGCTACTGTCTGTCTGGGGCCACCCACCCCACACTGAGCCCTGGTCCTGCCGGCCGGGCCCAGCGAGGTGGCTACGGGGTGAGTGGGGCTGGGGTGGCATGGGTACAGGTGTGGGTCTTGGGCCCCAGGGAGGGTGTCACTGGAGGGCCTGAGGGTCCCCCGCCCCTGCGGCTGCGTCCCCACACTCACACCCAGAAGCCGGCACACCCACCTTCCTGCAGGCCCGGCCCCTCCCCCACTGCCCGCCGTGCTGCCTCCCAGGCCGGGCCGGGGTGGCCTCTGCCCAGGGATGGGACATGCTGGTGCTTGCGCAGAGGCCATGGGGGCCCGACGTGGGCCTTCGGGTCTGACTGACAGCGCTTCAGCCCCCTCATGTGCCACGTGGGCACTTGGCCTGGGGTTGGCAGGCCCCGGGGCCCTCCTGGCTGGTACACTTGTGCTGCCCAGAGCTACAGGGCTTCACAGGGTCCACGGGGGACGTTGCCGCCAGGAAAGCGGCCAGGGTGGCCGGGAGGGAGACCCACGGTGAGCGAAGGCTGGGAGGGCCCGGGCTGG